GTTTAACATTTCCTTTGTAAAAGCTCGATTGTGTCGTGACTCTGACATTACTGTGGTGTATGCAGAGTCTTGGTGCCTTCAGACACTGGGTTGATCACAGTTGGATCTAATTGGTCCAGTGTGGAGGAACACAAATGAAGGAGTGCCTTTGTGTCATGGACGCGTAGGCTAAATGAGTGCACTGGGACTGGGGCTGCGACGTAATGACCACACAAGAGCAATGCTCTGGTCTGCTACAGTGATGACGGATATTCAATTTCGTTTAGGAGGAAATTAGCAAGGAAAACCAGATGCATGCTTTTGAAAGGGTGTGGGTAGATAATTCATTATAATTATTACTTATGTGTGTTCTGGTTCCCAAAGTCATGTTCACCACTCTTTGGCATAATGTGAACCTCTTTAAAGAGTCTGCAAGTAAATCTGATTGTTATTAGTGATATCTTAGTTGGACACATACATGAAGCCTGAGGTAGGCTCTCTATTTTCATGCATTTTGAATAAGCTTTCTTCTCCAAACTCTACAGTCATAGGTTCAGTGTGTAAGAGCCATGAATAAAACATAAGAAGCCTGTCAGCTTTCAAAAGGCATAGTCAACTAAGAAGGTTGTCATCCCAGCAATACGACAGCCATACATAGCTATTGGCTCATAGGTCTTATCATCCATGTATACAAAATTGATAAAGCTGGGAAGAAAAATTGTTTATAAAAATAGTGAATGTTGCTTCATCCTTCCTTTTATGGTTAGTTTCATATTTCCAGTACTGGTATTGATTATTGTCATCCAATGCCATAACCCATTTGTAAAGTTTGGGAAAGAAGCTGATTGAAAGCCCCAAGGCCCCATTGGTGGGATTTTGGGAATATGGACATATAACAGAGTGTAACCTAAAGGGTTATACATGGAAAGACAATAAACCTTCCCTTTTTACAAGGCATACATGCAGTACATTCATAACAAGGATGAACCCTGCCAAATCAAATGAAACAGTCCACAACATGTCTTTCTGCACGTCGTTAGTTCCTGTACATCACTGGTGATATTTACATTATGCCTATCAGCCCATCTCATATCACACCACCTTTCTATTCCTGATCTTTTATTCCAGTATATACAGTACTGTGGAGTGTTGGGAGGTGTTTGGAGAAATAGACTGACACAGACAAAAACCATGAGAAGATATGTAGATAAGAGTGAAGAAGAACGAGAAAAATGGTAGACAGGTAGACAAGGGAACAATCTGATATCCTCTGTATATAAAATTCTTTTCCCCAATTCATTATCTTATAAAGTTATCATAAGGGTCAATCACATGACCTTTTTTCATGCGTAGGGTTGTTTAAGGTTCCATCTGCATATTGATGTAATCTAGATTTCTTAAAATTGTGTGTGTATGGTCTTGTGAGTCTTACGATGGACTGGCATCCCATCCAGGTTGTATTTCCACCTCACACTGAGTGTTCCTGGCATAGGGTCCAGTTCCACCATAACCCTGACTAAAATAAAGCACTTACTGAAGATGAATAAATTTTTTTTGTTAAGCAGCCATATTTATCATGGGCTCAGGATGCTGTCTGTGTGGAGTTTCACACGTTTTTAGGTTTCCTCCTACTGTCCAAAAACCTGCAAATAGGTAGACTGGCTACTAAATTCCCCCCTGGTGTGAATGTGTGTGTGCGTGGTGCCCTGCGATGGACCAGAGTCTCATGTCTGGTGGCTCTGGATTCACCGTGACCCTGACCAGGATAAGGTGGTTACTGAAAATGCATGAATAATTATTATCATTTTGGCCTTCAAACATGTTTTGGGTGATTTTAAATACTTGAAACAGGTTATTGTTTGTGGTAAAAACATAGTACCATTGCAATAAAATGTCAAGGTTAAACTGTTGAATACATGATTTCAAGTATGAATTCATTCATTAATAACTAAACAACTAGTTAATAATTTAATACTTGGATTTGCCCACTGCAGTAGTTAAGAAAAACCTCAAGTTGGTTAATTAGTTTAGGTTATTCAATATAAAAAGGCATTTCACTCACATATGCATAATTTCCCAGCAAACTGAATATGAAGCAAAGCCTCTAGTGTCATGTGAAGATAAATGAGAGTAATTAGTTGACATTTGCATGGGGAAAAAATCAACAAAACTATGTTTAATACATCTGTGATCATGTCAATCGTACATGTATTTGGAGTGTTTTAAAAATATATTGTCATTAATGATTACATTATTCTTTAATTCTTAAGGCTAATAACCCCCTAATAATTTTCTCCTGAAAATTATAGATTTCAAAAAGCACATAAAACCATGATGACATTAATGAGAATATAAGATGTGCAATTTAAATGAGTTTTTAATATTTTTTCCATCTTCTTAAAATTCCTTTTATTGACTCATTAAGACACATTAAGAGTAGAAAATCAACTCTCTCTCTCTCTCTCTCTCTCTCTCCCTTTGTATGTGTGTGTGTGTGAGAGAGAGAGAGAGAGCGAAAGAGAGAGAAAATCAGGCAGTTAGCTCAATACAGTGGCTCATAAAAGGCCTTCATAATAATGCAGGTCAAAAGGCATTAGTAATGATGCATGCAGTCCTTTTGAAAACCTCAGCTATTATAAGTCTGTTACAGACCATTAGGCTACTACACTGCCATGACTGCACACACAGAGCAGAGCTATTGCAGGCTTGTATACACTTTAAATACTGATAAATATATGTATATATAGATAAACTCATAGTTTCATTTTGTAAAATCTGAAATAAACACATAAACAAATACACACATACAGTATATAGATTGTGGTATTACTATCAGTAGCAGACCAGTACACTCTGAAATTCCTCCAACCTAGGGACAAAAGGACACAGTTGCCTAGCTTTCTCTAGGGGATCAAATGAGAATTACACACAAGCAACTAAAAACCACTACAGAAATGCATCTACTGTGACTTTTAGAGAGAAAGACAGAAAAACACAGGTAAGGTTACAGTCATTGAAACCTGTCACACTCTCTCAGAGTAAGCAGAGTTGCAAAGTCCTTTAACCTGCCCTGGACAGGTCATCTTTCAGAACCAGGTCAAATTCTGAATTCAAATTAGTCATGTGCAACATACTGTAGCAAGTATTTGTGAAACAAGATTTATTGGAGTGAGATAAAAAAAAAAACCTCCTTATAATCTTCTTTGCATTTCTAATAACAAATTTCTGTTATTGCGGTCAAACCAAAATAGCCAATTACAAGCAATACAAATGCAAGTGGACCTGCAACACAAATATCTCATTTCCTCTGGAGAAATGAGCAAAGTATCAGTGCAAACATCTCCAGAACAGTAAATACCTTGATTGGTCAAAGCTCTCCTCTGTCCAGCCAGTTGACTGGATCTGTTCTAGGTGTTAGATCATCAGGATTTATCGTTCTGGACGTTGCCTCTGGAATGTCAGCATTGACAAACCCACCTGTTGAAATGAAAGCTATCAGGCTGTGGTAGTGCTCCCTGTTAAAGCACTGCTGCATAATGTTGGGACTAGAGCATGCAAATGACTCGAGGTCAGAATTTGCTTTGAGTACAGCATGTGCCTGCATAGATGGTACCTTTTTGCTATCTTGGAAGAATTCAGATGACTACTGAATTTTAATGGGAATAAAACCTAAAATAGTAACTGGAACAGAAGAGAAATCCAATTCAGCAGAGGACACATTGTGCATAAAAGCAGATGGGCTACAGTCAGTAATTGTATACCTACAAAGTGCACATTTTGTATATGGCAGGTAGCTAAGCTACAAAACTGTCAACTCAGTGTATTACAATATGACATTGAGCAGCACAACTTTTTTTTTTTTTTAAATTATCACACATCACACCACTGGCTTCCTGTAGCTTCCCTCATTACATTTAAAACACTGACACTTGCCTACGAAGCCAAAAAAATGGTGCAGTTCTCACCTACATGAAGACACTTATCAAAGCACTTCAGTCTGTTTCCTTTGAGCCACAAGCATGACTCGACCCATGATCTCTCAAGGCACAAGGAAGCCAAGACTTTTCAAGACTTTGCTCTCTTTGTTATCGCACCCAGTTGGTGGAATTAACTTTCTTTGGCTGTCAGATCAGCTGAGTCACCTGTTCACTGAATGCTTAACTGGACACTTAAGAAAACCTAAAAATCTCAAACTGTATGTTGTCTTTGTTGCTGTCCTAGCTCCTCTCTAACCTGATTTCTTTTCTGTTTTTTTTTATTTTTATTTTTTACCATGACCTATTTTTCCTAGCTTGAGGTATGTTTATTTGAAGCACTGCAATGCACCTTGGCATCCCATCCAGAGTGTGTTCCTGCTTCATGCCCAGTGTTTCCAGGATTAGCTTTGGATTCACCGTGACCCTGACCAAGATAAAATCATTATTGAAGATGATTGAATGACTTACAAAGCACCTCTGTCAGTCACTCTGGATAAGAGCGCCTGCCAAATGCTGTAAATGTAAACGTACTACAACTAACACAGTTGTCAAACACATGTTCAGCATGCTCAAGAGGAACACAACACTTTCCCCAAGCTATGCACTGTGGATGGGCCATTAGCTCTAAGTGACCGTCCTACATTTGTGACTAGGAGTATAAATACCAGTCTACATTGTATAGCAAGATACTAAAAGTCATTGCTGTTGCCAGAAAAAGGGACGAATCAGGGACAGGTAAGTGACAGTAAGTAGCACAGAGCTACCAGACAGTCATCTGATCTTATTGGCATTCCGTCTGGTGCGGAAACAAGTGATCTGAAGTATTGATCAGTGTGTAGCTCTTTAACCAGACATAAGCAGGTCAGGGATTGATTGACAGTCTGCTCTTTTGTGGATCTCTGGTTCATGCTATTCTCAGGAAGCAGCAGGTTCAGGCATATAGTAACCAGGAATTATGTTGATTTAACATATCAACTGGAAAACAAACATCCATAAAACTGTCATTTCCATCAGCCCATTCTGCTGGCGTATACGTTGGTAAAAGCCTAGCTCAGTCAGTAGCGCATGAGACTCTAAATGTCAGGGTCGTGGGTTTAAACCCCACATTGGGCGCCAAACCCACCCACTGGGGTCGCGTGAGCTAGTGCACTCTCAGTGCTGGTCGCAAGCCCGGATAAAATGGGAGGATTGCATCAGGAAGGGCATCCAGCATAAAAGCTGTGCCAAATCAAATATGCGGACCATAAACCAGATTTCCATAATGGAGATGGAGAATCTGCTGTGGTGACCACTAACAGAAGTAGCCAAAAGTAGAACATCAACAGCATGGTTTACAAGTAGATTTCTATTTTCCCCAAACTGTATCTGTGTAAAACATTAACACATGTTTAAAAAAGCAATGCATTTTCCACACTGTACCTTGAGTATACAGGCATTGTCCATCCTGTTTTGCTTATTTTTATGTTGTTGTTTTTTTGTAGGTTAATAAAAGTTTGCAGCTACTGAGGAAGCACCAGTTGCTTCCCAGCCAGTCTTCATTTTTTATTTTTATTTTCCTATAGGGCACATTAAAATGGGTAGGTCTCATTTTCATGTGAAGGTTATAAACAAACTAAGAGCATCAATGACTGTGTAGTCATCTATATTCTGAACATGAAGCACAAGATACAAGGACACTTCAGTGTAAACATTGCATAACTGTCTGACCTCACGTATTAGCTAATGCCCACCTTTTCATTAGTGAGACATGATTCATGTGGGTGAGAAACATTATTTCAGACTTTAAGCAGCCTCCGGACTGTTTGCTATTTCGAAAAAAAATTCACAGATCTAGAGTACAGCTTTTAGGTTTACTAGTTGTAAGCTAAATTTTAATGATTAGTTTTAGATTAATTTTATTAATGACTCTTTGTTCTAGGTCTAGGGTTAATCTCAGTCCAGAAAACTAACCCACATAACATTAAGTGACAGGCATAATTTTATAGTTTTTTATTATATTACTATTAAATCCCTCCTTGTCCTCTGTCGTCTTACTGAAGAACAGTGGAGATATTTTCACAGTTTCAACACGTAGTATTTTAAGCCCCTAGTTGTGATTCAACACCCAACAGTTACACAATGATCCTAAAAGCCAGCCAGACCACAACTTCTCCCACGGGACACAACTCAAACCTGTAAATGCAGTAAATGCTGTGGGCCGTTACTGCAAGCTTGCGATATCTGTCCCTTCCTTAAAAATGCCCAACTCTGCTTTAGATAAAGACTATAAAGCAGTAGGAGTGAACATGTGGTATTTAACATTTGGCTGAACTCCCTGCCTTGATGTCATGCTATAAATATGCTGAGCTTTAACGTGATCCATGGCATCCATGAAAGAAGCAGTGAGGAAAGCGAGGTGTCTTACAGGGTAAGAGCTAGTTAAGCATGCTGTCATTACAGACATAATGAACAGATAACTTTACAAACACAAAGTTATGGTTATGAGGCAGCTAATTTTTTAAGTTTGGGGCAGATCATTCAATTACAGCATCACAAAATAAAACCAGTGCAGATCTTTTGTGAGAGTACAGGTCACATTAAAACATAAATAACAGTATGGAAGCATACTAATATAAAAAAATGAAGGAATAAAAATGACAGGGTATGCAGTTATAGGAAGCAATCAACAACTGAGTTGATTATTTTCCAATAACAGCACAACCTGAAGCTTTTTTTTACTCCTCTTATATGACAGCAATTTTTCCAACAATTAAAATCTTTTATTTATTAAAGAATGACATGTCATATTTTTATCCATTTATAGTTTTACATTTAATGTTGTGGAACATCCATGAAATAAGTTAGTTTATCACTTTTGTTATAGCAGCTATAAACATTCCCTCACTAGTCTCTTTTTTCTCTCTACTGAATTAATTAAGAAAAAAAATTATAAAAAAATTATCCTGAAGACTTTTTCTTTCTCAGAAATCTTTAAAGTACAAATTTACATGATATTCTTTTAAAATGTATAAATGGTAAATAAATGTCTCCTTACAGAACGCTTCAACTTTTATAGTTTTTTATTGTTAAATAAACACTAGCTTAAAACTCTGTTTATTGTTAGGCTTAAATGATTTGAGCATTCATCACACAAGTCCCTGTGAATTAGACATTACTATAGAAACTATAACACATTAGAATGAGCACAATATTATGCATTGTTGCTGACACTGTTGTCACAGCTGCTGTTATTAAAGAAAAAAAATTAACCAACATTTTCTGACCAATCAGATTCAACAATTCAACAGCATATTGGTATAAATGTGTATGATCCCTGGCATTCTTGGGGATAAAATAAATTTCCAAAGGGTTCTTCCCACCCAGGCCACCTTTTATTCAAATGTCTTCTTCTAATCTGTATTGTTTTTTTAATTTGTTTGATTCTGAATTCTCTTTATTATTCTATTCCATTATGTATTTTAGCACTAGCTTTTTCTATTTCAATTCATTTTCTTTATTTTATGGATGGATTGTTTTTGTCTTGTCTTGTATTGTCTTTTGAAAGCACCATGGCTTCCTAACTACAATTAATTATTCAATTCAGTGTAGCAAACTATTCAGATATTCGTGGATGTCTTCATATACATCCATGAGAATCAGTCCCATAAGAGTATCAGTAAACTCTGATAAACTCATTCCATGCTACATTATTTTACACTGCTAGAAATTCACTGTACACACACACACACACACACACAGTGCAGCTGTTCAAATATTGTGACATGTGATTGCAGCCGGATACAAAGGGTCTTTTTCAGTTTGAGCTAAGAGACAAAAGGAAGAAAGAAGAGGACAAAGTCCCCCATTTGACCGCTCTGTGTCCCCAGCCAAAAGAAAGCTTTGTCTAACACACTGCATAGCGATGCACTGGAGCTCTCTCCAACAACTCCCATCCAGTATGGCTTCCTTCAGTCTTTCACCAGAGACAGCACAAACAAATCACTCCACAGGAGTACAGATTTCCCATAATGCCATGGTCTAAGTAAAGATGGTGTACAGCCTCATAAGTACATTTTTTGGATTTGAGTTTCTCACATTCTTTACCAGTATATTACATATTATGTGATCTCATCAGACTGACACTTTCCATCAGGGAGGGATCTGAAGCATTCTCTTGTAATTACCTTCAAGAGAGCAGGAAGTATGAAATGTGCTACTGAGAACACTTGAGCTGTGAATGATTTTCATAAGCACTTAGTATTATCCTTTCATTTTCATTTACATTTACAATATTTAGCAAAAGCCTTTACCCAGAGCATCTTACAGACATGCTTTGTAGTCTTCATCGAATATATCCTTATGCTAGTATAAATAGGTCAGAATCTGAGAATAATATCGAGCTAAAACCATGTTTGAGAGGAGTTAGTAAATCGATCCTCTCACTGTGCCGTTCACTTTTGACCACGATATGAACTCATGCACCATTTCACAGTGAGAACAACAGCTATGTGGCTTGCTGGAATTATGTAATGCACTTAAAGGTGACAAACAAAGATTCTGCAATTTTCTTCGGGATGAGTGTTCTCTTCTGAATTTTCTGAAAAATGTTTTCAAATTGCAAAATTAATAGAATAGAGAATGAAAAAGCATGCTGTTATGATGCCATTACCACGCCAAAGTTGATTATTTTACAATAACAGCATGCCACAGAGTGTTTCATTCTTCTTACACCACAGCAATTTTCCACTGATTAAACTTTTTAATATATTAAAAGAACAATACATCATACTTTTTATCCATTTATAGTTACATTTAATATTGTGGAATGATCATAAAACAAGTTACTTCCTTAACAGTTACATTTAATTAAAGAATTATATGCTATCCTTTTTTTTTTTTTTTAATCAATTTATAATTGTATTTAATGGTGTAAAATATCCTCAAGTTAGTTCCTCTTATCACTTACATTATAGTAGCTATGAACAGTCATTCTTTCACTTGAAGTTAATAAGCCAAAAAATATTTGCAATTTCTTACTGAGAAACTGCAAAAAGTTAAATTCTCTGCCCTTAGATTTTCCTGTGATGGAAAAAGTAAAATAACAGTTTTACCTCTAACAGTTGCAAAGTGCTGACACTGAAGACTCCTTTCATAAATGTTAAATAAACATTTCCTGACAGAAAGCTTCATCAGTTTATTTTGTTAAATAACAACTGTTTAATATTATACTTAGATTACATGGAGTGTATATAATATACAAGTCCCTGTGAATGAGCTGTTATATTAGAACGAGAACATTAATACGAACCTGTGATTTGCCTTGCAGCCAGCATTACTCTCAGAGCCATGCTGTTATAGAAAATTAATCAATGCCTTCTGACTTGAGAATTCAACAGTGCTGTGATATAAAATCAATTAAATTCATAGCATTTACACTTTCTACAATGGAAACAGAATATGAGTTTGTGGCCTGAATATCTGGATAAACATGAATTAATCCATGACTGTAAGCTGAGCTGAGACTTGAGAAACAGTCATCCTTCTTTCTTTTACTCCACCGAGGGATTCCTCAGTGCATACAAGCAGCCTAATGAATATACGAAAAGGCATGAAAGCATTTTTATCGGATGATTCAAACATTCCAAGATTTTATGATCCATGACATGCTTTAGGATTACAAACTGGTAAAAAATTCCATCCAAGTAAGTCCATTCTGGTTGATCTTCTGGGGCAAAAGGCTTTAATCACTCCAGATCTGGACCTCTAGGTTCAGGAACAGCACTTCTCTAACCACTGCATATATATTACTTGACATTCTAACTGAACTCTATTAGCATTATTGCATATTTTGACTTTATTGTTTATTAAACTTAATTCTATTATGTTTCTAGCACTGAAAGTTTGTATTTTACTTGTTGTAAATGTATGGTTTGATGTTTAAGGGTTTTTACGAGCACACCACGGCAAATTTATAACAACCGATGTCACAGTAAAGCATAGGGTTGTGTTGAGCTGGTCATTTTCTTAATTATTCACTTCAGAAGATATCACAAGCATTTCATGTGCTTACAATGCTTAATGAAAAAAAAAATAGGAAACAGGAAGTGGAATAAGGACACAATCTTAAAACTGCT